AACCAAATTCAAGCTATTTAGTCAAGAAAACTGACCGGCAAATCCCTAAAAAGCGGTAACTATACTCCATATCTGGAAGTATTACAACAATTATGAAACGAGAGATTCCTCGGAACCCAACCTTTCTTCGCATAAACCTCTAACAAACTATTTACCAGTTATTTACAACTTGTTCGGTTTGTCGGAAATATCTTGTGCGAATTCCTCTGCTATAAAAGTTATCATAATTCCTAATGTGAAACCGTGGATTTGGTACATTCTCAGACATTTCGCCGGAATGGTAGTCGGCATCGTCAGTGAGCTTTGCCACTCCTAGCATCAAGCCACAGCTCGATGCTGACTACGATACCGGCAGGGTGTCTGAAAGTGTACCAAGTCCAAAGTCTGATACTGGAAATTAGCATAGCTACTACAGGAAAGGACTTCGGACAAGGTGCCTTGACATTATGAAAAAGTTGCGAAAACGAGGTCAGACCACTTTCACAAAGCGAAAGGAGACTGAGACCTAAACAAGGGCCACAATATCTTGGTATTCATATCTACCATATTCTTGCTTGCCTCCTTTTACCGTAATGCCGAACAAAGAATCCTTTTTTAGTATATATCTTTTTGAATCTTTAGTTTTTAGCATCCTATGAATATCTCTTTTTGCAATCGCACATACCAATATCTCACTGTTCATGAGGCTGATAATGGCTACGAGGACGTCGCAACTACAATCCAGTCTGGAGGGCACAGAAGACTTCTTGATTCACTTGAGACTCGAGTTGTTATCACTCCTAACAACGAGAAACAGATGGCGAAATACCATTGGTCAAAAACATAAATAGGCACCTAAATGATTTTGCACAGAAGTGTAAAGATTTATGATAATGAGAGAAGTCAACTAAATTAAGTTGGTAACCGGCATAAAAATAGCAAGATAATTAGAACAAAATTGCTGGAAACTGCAAAATCAATAGTGTATCAAGCTTAATGCCAAACACACTATTGTCTTTTTATGTTTATAAACAGGTTGCCGAGACTACCAGAAGGTCATTTATATAGAATATATTCACTCTATTTAGTTAAACTAATGAAGAACTGATAATTAAATTTTCACACAATGATATGGGTGGTTCATACATTTTTGTTGAATTTCACATAGCCTTGATTCCTAAAACGTATTCACATCCATGCTGGAGTAGACTGTAGTTTCGACTACCCTATTTGGTATTGTCCAGCAATAAAATTGTAGATACGAAGAGCAAGATGATGTGACCTCTATTCTGCTCGCAATCTCCATTCAATGTACCAATTCCATGGTCCTACTCTAGAGATTATAATGCAGAATATGGACTCTGGACAAGGTCTTCTTGCCAATATGACCAAGTTGGTTAAACAAGGTCAAATGCCTACCATACCATATAAATAATGTGATTGCCGCATCATTTATAATTTTCTTCTTCCCTCCGGTCATGTCCTCCCCAAATCTCGACAGCCTAAGCCTATAGCAAGAAAAAGATAGATTTTGCAAACATGATTAGAGCACCTTATACCAACATGAGGCCTGTCGAGGCAAAGATAATTCGTTGCGAGAAGATGAAATTTGAAGAATCCGAAAGCCGCACTTGCATATGTAGGGACGTGCCAAACCTCATCGGTACCCTAGACCCTAGTCCTACACCTCCTAACAATAGACAGTACAACTTGAGCACCACTTGCTCACTTATACAAGCCAAGGAGGTGTGGGCTCGAATCCTGCAAATTATGACAAAATCTCTGATCAAAAAGGACAATAGCAAGCTGCACGGAAAGTTGGCAACACAAAGTAGACAGTCTGTATCATTTTACATGGCTCAGGTTGTCCTCCCAATGTAAAAGCTCATCATTGCCAGTCAAGATGGTCGCTGCTCACTTTTCTCACTGGCCTGGTCCGGTCTGGTCAAGTGAGAATTCTGAAATTCGCTGCGGTTAATTTCAAGTCAAGTCAGCAAACTTAATCTGCCCAGCCAACGGTCCGAGTTAACCCTCCCGGCCGAGCATCGCATCGGCATTCTTGAGCCTCAGCTGTCAACACGTCCGCACTTAGTCATGCACTTTTTCTTTTTTTCCTTCATTCAACGACACTTCGATATTATCCCATATCATTCTGAACCTATATGCAATTAAGTTTGTGTTAAGATCTTCTGCAACCTTTAATCTTATCATCCAAAGGTTCGTCAAATATAAATAAGCCAGTAAATTCCTTATTACTGATGTTGATTTGTGTTTTAAAGCCAATTGCATAGACAGGATATGCAAGAGATTAGGCTTAGACTAACTTATTCAATTGTAAGGCAAAAGTGATTATGGTGACCAAAATACTGGACAAGTCAGTGACTATGTTGTATTCACCCTAATTTGCAAAAGGTGGTGAAAGAATGAAAATTGAATTTTCACGCAGTTATAAAAAGATATTTTCATCATTTTGGGAAGCAAATTATGTGAAATCTAATGAGAAAAGTAAGGCTTATTTATAGAATAGTGTTAAAATTCAACTGCATGTCCTCCATCACTGTATGCTACCCAGGGTGAATACACCTCTTATTCAAGATGTGCTGGCAGTTTCGGAACCTACTCAATGTGACCTTTTATAAATATTTGTGTTCGGGTACTTTGAGTGAGAAACAAAATGAGATTTAGCCACCGCATATATACGAATTGCCGGCCGATATAAAAGGGAATCTCAGAATGTAAAACATCTGAAAGTTGCACTTACTGAATCAACAGAATTGTTGGTCTTTGGAAATACGGGAACTTATATCTTTCAGTCACAAAGAGAATTGTTGAGATTACTTCCATTTCGAGTAGAAGTGTTGG